TTCCGTTACCCGTGTTGGGGGCAAGAGTGCGGACTCTCTCTCGACATCTCTGCGTCAGGAAAAGGGGGAAGTGCCATGACTTTCCCGTTGTCCTTTACATTTGAAACAGTGACAGTTTTTAACAAGATTACAATTTGGGCTATTGCAGTATGTTTATGAAATTGTTAACGCGATACAAAAGGGTTGTACAGTAAACCATGAGCCTGCGAACATGAATGGTAAAAATCGGATAATTCTTTGAAAGTCAATAAGATTGATTTCGTAGGTTTATGTAATATTGTTGCTGGCTAATGGTGTAGCGTGTACAGGTTGTATTAGCCATATGTAATAATTCTAGCATTTGCTAATATTCTCGCTTAGTCTATGGGTCTTAACTCTAAGTTATCCTAGTTTTTAACATCGCATCTTTTAAACTCAATCTATATATACTAATATCTAATATTAAACCTCAGCGCAGCTGTTCCCAGTTAACCTTTTGCATCTGTTAGTTCTTTAAAGTTATTTTATTACTTTACACTTTGAAAAGTATTTCATTTGATTTCTTTTCCGGTCAGCATGGGCCAGCGTGCATGTATGCGAGTCATGCATGGGCGTAGTACCTTAGCTACGAGCAATCTTGTACGTGATTCACCTCTTTTTAGATGCACATTGGCCCCTGCGTTTAGCGTTCTAAAATCGGCACGGAAAGTTTTGAAGCAAGGGAAAAAAAAATTAATGTGTATACACCGATGTTACACTATATTTTATAGATATTGAGCGAGTACTATTATTAGGTTGCGAATGGATTACAAAAATGTGAAACGACAAAGGTACTGGTATATTAGTTGGTTCCATTTAACGAGTAAAAATTTCAGACGCACGAAAAACGACAACAACTCAAGAACTATTATGTTAATATCAAAATGTTACAAGCAAAAACTTAAGTGCAATACACGATCTCCAAGCGTCGTTAACGTTAAGGGAAAACGTCAAACCTTTTTTTTAAGCCCAGAACTTTACCTTCTAAGTTAATAGCTTTGGTAGACAAGGGAATAGATTAACTAGTGAAAGAAGAGGTACCAGAAAAAGTCGATACTTTAGACTTTGCAATTCCAATAGTGCCTGTGCTAAAGAACAACAATCGAGTTAGATTACGTAGTGATTACAGCGTTACATTAAAATGTGCAGTTAAAAGTAAATAAATATCCATTACCCACTACGGAGGAACTACTCTCGGATATGTCGTGCTGTAATATGTTTACTAAGTTGGATTTTAGATTAGCTTATTTACAATTGCAAATTTATGAAGAAAGCGCAAAAATGTTAACGATAAACATGCACAACGGTCTATTTAAATGTAATAGATTAATGCACGGTGTCGTCTCTGCACCAGCAATTTGGCAAGAAAAAAAAAGAAAGTATACGAGATATAGCAGAAGTTTAAGTTTTTATAGATGATGTTCAAATTGCAGCAAAGAATTTTACGGAAATTAAGTTAATGTGAGAAGAAGTTTTTCAATTACTGAATAAGTAAAATATTGAGATTAACCGAGAAAAATGCTAATTTTTTGCTTCCAGAATAAGTTACTGTAGTTATGTAATAAATAAAGACGGATTGCTTACAGATATAAGTAAATTAGGAACAATAGAGAGTATAAAAAGACCCACAAACATTGATAAATTGCCAGCTTTTGTTGGATTTGTAAATTATCACCGTAGATTCATAAGAAATGATAGTTTAATATTGGAACCTTCATATTAATTATTACGTACTAAAAATGAGTTTGCGTGGTTAGATCACCAAGAGGTGGCATTTCTTTACATCGCTTTTTTGATGGGAGCGAAAAATATGTTTAAACGATAAAATTATCATTAAGTAAACTAGAAGGTAAGCAAAAAGTTCAATTAAAATTTACCAAAAATATTAGCACAAAACCTTCTGATGCCTCATGTGAAAACAGAACTTCCACCGACAGGTGAAACAAAACAAAATATTTAATAAAAATAAGAAGTTTAGAGATTTCAAATCGGAGAAAGTGCAACAACAACAAAGTATGACAAGAAATAAAAATTTATACTTCGTAAAATTATTATTTTTGAACGGAAAAGTTACATTGTGAAATTAAATTACATGACGGGAGAGTATGTTCGCGACATATAAATCAATTACTACGTATAGGGAGTATTAGGGTGGTCGTTGAAAATTAAATTTTTTTTAGGCGCCCAAAAAAAAATTTCCTCTTGNTGTAGAAATAAATAAAGAGGTAGAGAGTATTGGAAAGGAAATGAGGACAAGAAGTGTAGATTATGCATAGAAGAAGAAAAAGACCATAGAAACATAGTTAATATATGCAAAGATACGAGAAATAAGGAAGTAATGGAGAAAATATTAAGTCATGATGCAAAAGAGGTAGAATTACTAAGACGAGTACTCAAAGAAAGAGAAGAGCAGAAAAGGATTATATTATACTGATGTGTCCAAATCAAAACCAATAGAATGCTTCTCGCTTACAAACTTACTATAATATAAGCTATTTATTAAAAATAATATTGTATGTTATTAATCTACGACGGAAAAAGAACAGATGTATCATTCCAACAAATATATTTATTCCCCAGACACTAATAAGCCATTATTATTATACTGTCACCAGTATTTCTATTGTCCTTTTTTTCACACAATTTCTGGAGTGTAAAAGAATTCATTTTGATCTTTTACATCTGTGCCCCTCAAAACTTTACATAAGTGAGGCTCCTAGCTGTAAAGCGTAGAGTGGGTACAGTTGATCAGCAAGTAGTTGGATGACATTATAAGACCCTTTACCTTTTTAAGGAAAGTTTCTTTTGGGCGCCTGAAAAAATTTAATTTTCAACGACCACCCTAGAGAGTATACAGGAGAAAGAAAAAATTCCGGAATTTTTCGTTCTGGAGGAAGAGGTAGCCATTACACACCAAGAACCACAAGTTATAAGGAATAATCGTAACACTTTCATGTTTTCGGGGTTAACTGTTTTCTGGCAGTAATGTCTCTACAGAGTCAAGAAAAGACAGCAAGTCATTAGTTAGACGAGCCAGAGGACGGCGAAAAAAAAATAAGAAAAGGTACGCCGCAAAAAAATGAAGACGATTCCACAAATGACAAAGAATCCCATACACCAAGAATAATTCGCACAAATCTATCGGGAAAGGTGTTAGGTAGAAGTCGATGCTTGCGCACACATATGAGCGAGCGCGGAAAAGTGTGTACATGTAGCTCTGTGAGACTGTATGGAGTAAAAGTGTGAAGAGTACGAGTCACAAGTCAAGAGTATTTAAAGTGAGCAAACAGCAGAGTTTGTGTGTAACTGTCGACCAGCGCACATATGTAAAGGGGGAATATTAAATAAACGAAAAGTAAGATCATATATCCACAGTGATGATTCTTACTTATGTTCCCTTGTAAATACACAACAAGTAACTATTTCTTGTATACTATTAGTAATAAAACAAGTAGATGTAAACATATGTGTATTTGTAAAAGTGTATGCATATATTAATGAATATCTAAATAAATTAATACATCTACGTATATGCTATATATAACGTTTATTACCATACGTGTGATTATATATACGTATCCAACGCTATCAATAATACATGTATATATGTATAAATATGTGTGTATGTGTGAACATGGATATTTACACGTACACGCATACATATAAAAAAGATATAATTACTATCATACATACATATAGATGTACATTTGTGTATGTAAATATATACGCACGTACATACAAATACATATATTTACATATATATGTAGATTAATGTGCACACGTATACACTGTAGTACAAGCCGTTATACATATGTACACAGGTACTGCAGACGCGTACAATGGACAGCTCATCTCTCTGTCTCTTTCGCTTAGAATACGCGTGGAGTAGAAGATCTTACGATTTTTCGTAACGTCAATTTTTTCGTGTTTGGTCCACCCGCTCAGGCCTAGCGTAAGAGACATAGCTTCAAAAATATAGTCCGCAACCAAATTTTGTATGAGTTTTATTACGGCCTTCTGACTTAGTTACACTAGCTTCATAGACCCTATCTTTTTCAGGTGTCGAGTAAAAAAATTAGTGTTGCATAATTGTACAATTTTTTTCCTACGTATAGCAAAAAATTATTCTTGATTATAATTTGAAGCAACAAATTAGCAACAAACACGACATGAGTTACCAAACTTTAAAGAGCACTCTACAAATTTTCTTAGCTACACTGAAATTTTTTATTTCCACATTCTGCGTAAGCTGGCTGAGGCGATAAAAGTAAAACTATTTTCTTAAAGCAAAAAATTAGCAACAAAATATGGTTTAATAGATTGTCGAAAACACCATTAGTTTCTAAAATATTGTCATTGGCTACGCTAACCCAATATTATGATCCATTGTTTTTCGAAAACAGCAACAGCAACAAAATCGGATTTTGCGCAACGAATCAGCAAGAACTTCCCAAAAAATTATGGTGGATTTAATTTTGTTGAAATATTACATGGCTATGTTGCTTACTAGATGCAGTTTTCATTGTTGCATTAGAAAAATAAAACACTTATAAAACTTATGGGCACATTACTTACTTGGTAAGTTGATTGCGTATCAAACGGATAAATAACTTTTGGATTGTTGCATATTTCACAGATAAAGCCTTTTTGGCTGCATAGCCAACAACCAATGATGTGATTTCTGGCAAACTCTACAACCTTTTGCAATTGTTGGGCCAACGTGCCACTTGGTATGTCTAAAAGATCAAAAACCGTATACTGGTGAACGTGTTCATAAAGGTAGTTCCTAGGGGCAATCATCTTATAAAAGGATTCGATTGTGGGCTCCCTGCACGTGAATAAATAAGCCCTTAGTAGATTCAGTTGTACTCTGAGCGTCTGTAATTGGGCCATCAAGTCCACTGCAGAGTAGATTCTTGGATTCAAGATCTTGAAGTCAAGTAGTGTAGAGCATTTATCAAGGTATTGGGATGCTTTCAAACTGACCTGGTAACGTTTCAGATCCCAGTTGTGAATAACACGAGCAGGCACGAGGTGTTCTTGATCGGCCATACAATTGCAGCAGAAGTAATCGCCAGAAAAATTACACACGTTTGCCTTAGCAAAAGTCAATCCAATTTGTTGCCCGCAATCAAGGCAGTTGTAATTTTGTAGATCGAGTCCCTTTTCACGCGCTAATTGGCCTAACTGCTCGTCGAAATTCTGGCGCTCGTATGGCTCAGTCATCATCGGGTCAGCCATCACCGCCACAACTGGCTCACACAGCGGGTAATTCTCCAAGAGCTCTTTGAAATTAGGGGACCTGTATTCGGCAGTTTGGTAACTTTTAAGCAAAGCATTATAGGTCGGCCCTTCACTTAGCGACTGAGGGCCGTCAATCGTTTGTGAGGTCCGCGACACTGTGGACAAGACCAGTGACGTTTCGTTGTCGTTGATGGCCGCAGACCAGCTTTGCTTCTTAAATAAAATATTTTCAACCGTCCTAGTGTCTGTGGTTTCCGCTTTATCTGCACTTTCTACAGCTTTGCCATGTATGGCTGTGTCATGGTTCAGAGGCTCTTCAGCCGTCTCTGCTTCAACTGTAAACTTTCCATCTACGAATCTTCCGCACTCCTTTTCACCAATGGGTAGAGGCTTTAACGAAGTTCTCGCAAGTAAAGGCTGCTGCACCGGTGCCACTCTTCTAGCCAGTATGATTTTAAATGTTTCGTCCTCAGATACACCACTAAAATTGTTCTGTGTCAAGTTGAAGGAACTCAAAATTGAGTTGGCAATCTCAGAGTTCTCAAGGTTGTCGTTCGGCTGCTCACAGCTTATCGTCTTCGCAATGTCGATGGCACTAAAGACGGGACAAGACTTCATGGGCGGCGACCAAATTGCAGCCATCAAGAGCGGCGTGCTAGACCATAAGTTGAGCAAGCTCGAATTTGAAGCTAGATTAAAGCATATGTAGTCAACGCTCTCAACGAGGCGTTGAGTAATCTCCACGAGGTCGGTGTCACGCATAAAAGCCACTTGATTGTAGTAAGGTTTCAAAGCCGAATTATCACGACGTATGGCCAACATGTAGCTTGAAAGTAGACCCTCATTAAGAGCTAATCGGATCCAGGCTCGGCAGTAGCCTACTTCTGTTGTCAGCTGAAAATGGATCAGTCAAACGTTAGACATGTTATTCATTTCATTATAATATTATCTGCATATACAAAATTTAAGAAGGTTTATCGCTAAGAGAACTTTTTCGAGAGGTTTAAAAATAACCGCCTATATTATCGCTCTAAACTGGAAATGCGGATACATCGACTAATCTATTTACTAATTAGAATCAAATACCTACAATCTATTTACTGTTTAGGATTCCTAACTGAGCAAAAAAATACTTATAATCTATAGATGGGCGCCTTAACGTCTTAAGCCTCTGAAAGCCGAATCTTTCGTAAGTAATTCAATTCAAACTGACGTAAATTTTAATTTGATGTCTAAATGAGTTTCCAGTATTTTAATGCATTTAATTAATGTACCTTTTCCCCTGGCAAATATTGGCTTACAGATTAAGATTTTAAGGGTAGTTCGGAGATGGTTAAAGTTTCCTACCTTATCGATAAGATTACTTTGATTATATAGATTATGTATTTTTTTATACAGATAACTATTTCATTGGAAAAAAAGTAACGCACATTCTTGACACTTCAAAGAACAAAGAATGCTTTAACATGAAAAAGTTTATTGGAGAATTGAAAGTGAAATGCGAAAAATTAGATGTTAAACTAATAAGATCTGATGATCGCTTTTCTTCGCATTTCAATGAATCTCACCGAAATCAAATTACATTTATTTCATGTAGACTGAAAAATATGTGATAACTCTTCTTTTCTCTAAAAAATTATGTAGAAAAAGGTCACTGATGCAAATAAAACTACTCATTGGAATTAAACATAAGATTTTACTTTTATAAAAAAGAGTAAACACATAATTTTGACTTTCCAGAGAATAAATGAAACTTGATTCTGCCATGATTTATTAAACTATGAAGAAGAAAAGTGAAATATTAGATCAGATCTTATTCATTTTTTGCCTTGAATTCTCAATTGATCTAGCTAAGTTTGGGTTTAACGTATTCTTTGAAGTGTCAAGAATGCGTATCCACTCTTATTTTTTCGACAAAATAGTTAGCTATTGAATGCATAATGTTATAATGCTAAATCATTATAGTTACGTTAACGTTAACGTATAGGAAGCTTTAATTATCTCCAGACTGCCCTTAAGGAGGCTCAACACACCATATATAGTCAACAACATATATAGGTATAGTTATGACTAAAGTCATGTATATATATTAACTTCCACTGCAGAGCAGAACAAAAGCTTCTTCTGTTCCATGTGGTGGTTGATGTTTACGTAGATATAATCTTTTATTGTACATAAGGATAGTTGATATCAGTCGCTAAACAATATCCACGAAATGTCTATTATAAGTTAATAAATACTTCAAATAAAAGTTTACGCATTACGCATAACTATTTATATTCTAAATCATATGGTTTTTTTATCAAACTGCAATACTTTGTTCCAAAGTAAAGAAATATATCTATTTAATTCATTTACAACAAATTTTTCTGCTAATACATTTCTGCTAGCCGCGTTTTTTGCNAATATCCACGAAATGTCTATTATAAGTTAATAAATACTTCAAATAAAAGTTTACGCATTACGCATAACTATTTATATTCTAAATCATATGGTTTTTTTATCAAACTGCATTACTTTGTTCCGAAGTAAAGAAATATATTTATTCAATTCATTCTCAATAAATTTTTAAATACATTTCTGCTAGGCGCGTTTTTTGCAGACGATATTCTAACTAACATTTTTCTAATCGTGTCTATTAGTGTACTTCAGAAGGAAATATCTCAATAAGCTATGCAGCAACCTACATATTTCTTATGTTTAATTGAAAGAGTGATAGTTAAACTACATGTCTCTAGTTTTTTGTTAATGCAGGAAGTGATTTGAGAGATTTATGATGAGATTTCCGGTGAAAAAAGTGCCGTCTTTATAAGAGGCTATGTATAAGACGCTCACTTGTAACGCATTTTAATAAAAATTTTTCGGAGCAACCTATGCTGAAATTTTGCACAGAGGTAAAAAATATACTCATTGACCGTGGATTTCAATTTCATCCATTTCACAAGTACTTCGATAGGTGTGTTGAGCTTTTTTAAGACCCCTATGTTTGGACACCTTTATCTGCTTCTGTATTTTTACTCGTCGAAACCTGGCATACTTGCAAGCTGTATGGATAGGAAAATACATAAGCTATGCATATGCTATTACATTTAATATCATTCGAAATCCATCACCAAGGTTTAACTTTTCAATGTTTATTAGAAAGCGCATGATTTAAACTATTAACCGTTAGTTTATCGTAAGATATACCGAAATGTCATTTATTGCTAAGGAAATGCACTGTTTTTGACGATAATATTGACGCCCTGTGAGGTTTCAAAAACTTAATGCTTAATTTTATCCAGATGTCGGATTCAGGTACGTGACCCCTGATAGTCATGCATCAATGCAGTATTAATGATACGATGTTGTGTGTATTTAAAAAATACAATAGAAATCCTTGTTAATATTTGTTTAGGTATAATAATTACTCAGTACCTCGAAATTAGTACAAGGACGAGCTGTCCAGAAAATCAGCTGAGGTAATTATCAATTCCTTACCGAGAGAACCACCTCTAGAATGCACTGCTTAAGAGATCTGCTTATCATGTAATCGTATTACCAAGATTACTAGTGAATGGGATATGCTAGGAAATATGCAATTTAACTAAATAACTAAAACAAGCTTTTGCGTCTAAAAGAAAACGAGAGAATCATACAAAAAAAATGTAATAAACAAAAGTCAATAGATCTTGGGTACCCAAGTATTAAATTATACTTAGTTGATAGACATTACATGAGTGTAATTAAGCCTTTGATGGAATGACATCTCAATTAACTCACTATGATGGATCGACGGTCGGGTAATTACCATTGGGATGAGAATATTCGGTAACTGGGTGTAGTTTTGATGAATATTTTAATATTTATTAAACAAATAATTGTAAGGAGTATATTATGTAGATGAAAAAAGTACAGAGTATTGGGATCCCAAAACGTCACGTAACTTTCGCGATGTATATAGCTGAGTCGAAAAAATTAACACAGGCCTCATAGGGACCTATTTTCATTTTTTTCCGCCTACAACAATTATAATACTGTAAAAGCTTGCAAATAACATATTTTCAAAGAAAAAACGATACTGTTACTAATTTTTTCCCCAACTCAACCGTTATATAAAGATTAAAACCTTACTTCGAAAGTGCGAAACGTACATTAAACCTATGCAAATATCTCCCGCTACTGCCTATATATGTATAGGTGTATAAACAGAATTTTGGTCAAGGTTCTATGTGAATTTCGATCTTTCGAAGTAAGTAAGGTTTTAAGCTTCATGTAATGATTGAGCTAGAAAAAATTAGTTGCAGTACCGTTGACGTAACGTTTTAGAATCCGAATAGCTATGTGGCATGACGTGCTACCAGCTTAGCCAGTACGAGATTGCTCAATTTCACCGAATCTTTAAATAATTTCAAAATAACTTTCTACGCTGATAACATTCACAACGTCGCGCTGTCACTTATCTTATGCACATGATTTCGCATTTGATACGAAATCATTCTATGTATAGAAACTCGTATGAATAAATAACCAATTTTAAAAAATAATGAAACCAATGAAAAATTTTGCATAAAAAAATTACAGAACTGCTCATTCAGTTTGAAATCAACAAAGTAATAAAATATTAACAAATATACACCAATTTATAAAAAAAAAAATGCTGCTGAAAATTTTTTTCAAAGTTTTGAAAAAAAAAAGTATTTAATTAAATAAAAATCTTATTATTGTAAAAAATAAATCAAATATACGAGAACGAATGAACTTACAAATAGAAAATAAATATACAAGACTGAGCCCGGCGAACTTACACACAGTGACATATGTGGGTATATGATTGAAGCATTATTGGGCGGCATTCGCTTTTTTGTTACATTTATTGATGACGCGACCGACTATTGTCATGTTTACTTTATCAAGCACAAAGAAAATGTATTTGAGAAATTCGGAAAATTCAAGTGAACAGTGGCAAATCAGTTCGGTCATCAAATCAAGTCTTTTCACAGTGATAATGGTCGTGAATTCAGGAATGCCAAGATGCTGGAAGACATGAAGAAGCGATGGATCAAGTTCGAACCATCCTCTCTCTATATACGCCCGAGCAGAATGGCAAAGCAGAAAGGAGCAATCGAACGGACGTCGAGTGTGCAAGGATCATGCTGCTTGAGTTAGGCCTATTACGCTCTTTCTCGGTGAAAGCTGTACAAACATAGCCGCGTCTACTTGCTTAACCGTGTAAATATAGATAGTGGTTCAAGCAGCGTAACGTCTAACGAAGCGTGGACCAGCTGGAAGCTTATTATGCAGCATATATGTAAAGATGTTTTAAGTTGAAGAATTCATACGCATTCCAAAAGTCCAAAGTACAAAGTTCGATCCAAGAGTTAACCAGTGAACAGTGGGTGCTTGGGTACCCAAGTAAGAAGTTATACTTCTAAAAAATTATATGGCAAATAATATAATTATAAATATAAATATACCTCGTATGAAACTATATGAGGTGGTGCAATTATTGTTGGAATGAGTAAACCTACGTTAGTTGCGTGTGGTTTCAATAAATACTTTAATACCTAATAACAAAACAATTATAAACAATATCTCATGGCACAATATAATATAAACAATACGGCAGCTGGTTAGTACAAGACTGTGCTCTTTCATTGAATTTTCCGATGGTTTCAAAAAAAATCCCTAGGAAAATAAGATATACCCAAATAAAATAGTAGATCGTTCAACTGTACCCTTTTTCACATGTTTAATTTAAAGAATTTTAAATTTAACATGTAACCTTATAGAAAAATCACTTTTAATTGGACTTATAAGATCTATATAAAGCTCTCATTTTTTTGTTTATTTGAAACATTACTATTAGATAAACCTGTTTCATTTTCAAATAGATCCATATATTTTTTTTTCTT